GCTTCAAGCTGCCTGGCTGCCGGCCGCCATCTTGGTTGGCAGTTAATTTGCATATCACCCTGATTAGCCAATGAGAAGGGTAGCGGAGGTACGGCTAATTACCATGTTTCTCTATTATTAGATAGGATAGCCAAGATATGGAATCAACCTCAGGCCCATCAATAGACACGTGGATAAAGTGGTGGTACATATATACTATGAAATGAAAAAGCTTCACATTTGTGAGAGCATAGAGAGATCTAGAGGGTATTAGGCTAATAAGTCAGAGAAAGACAAATACCATATGATTTCACTTATATGTGGAATCTAAATTACAAAATAAACAAATAAAATGGAAACAGACTCAGATATAGAAACCAGACTGATGGTAGCCAGAGGGGAGGTGAATTGGAGAATTGGGGGGAAAGGTGGATAAATTAAGAAGTACAAATTGATCATGAGGATGTAAAGTACAGCAGAGGGAGTATAGTCAATAATATTGTAATAACTATGTACAGTGCCAGGTGGGTACTGGAAGTATTAGGAGGACCACTTTGTAAAGTATATGATTATCTAACCACTATGCTGTACACCTGAAATTAATATAAATACTGAATATAAACTATAATTAAAAAATTACAGCAAAAAAATAACAGCAAAAAATCAGAAAATTCACATTGATATATTACTATCAGCTAATACTTAGATCCCATTTAAGTTGCAACAATTGTCCCAAAAATGACCTTTAGAACAAAAGGGTCCAGTTTAAAAAGCACATGCTGCCCTTAGTTGTCATATCTCTACTTTCCTTCAATCTGAACAGTTCTTCAGTCTCTGGCTTTCCTGACCATGACAATTTTAAAGATACACACCAGTTATTTTGTAGAAAGTCTCTCAAATTTTGTCTTACATTTCCTTATAACTAAATTCTGGTGATGCATCTTTGCCAGGAATATCACAGAATTGATGTCCCATAACTAGGATATTAACTTTGATCATTTGATTAAGGTAATGTATGCCAGGTTCTTTGAAGGTAAAAGTACCATTTTGCCTTCTTAATTAATACTTTGTAGTGTGGTACTTTGAGATATGTAAATATCCTATTCTTCATCAGACTTTCAATTTATTAGTTTACTTACTTATACCAGAATGGATTTGTGGATCCTTCATTTAATCAATGGGTTACAAACCATTATTATCTTTATTTATTTTCATGTTGGGTGTATCTTGTTATATTTATGATAGAACTAGAGGCCCGGTGCACAAATTCGTGCATGCGTGGGGTCCCTAGGCCTGGCTGGCGATTGGAGCCAATCGGGGCCAGCCAGGGGAAGGGACCACTGGAGGTTGGCTGTGGGAGCACACTGACCACCAGGGGGCAGCTCCTGCGTTGAGCGTCTGCCCCCTGGTGGTCAGTGCGCATCATAGTGACCAGTCGTACAGTTGCACAGGCTTTTATATATGTAGATTACTATATCAGTTTTGTTTTCAGACAGTGAGTTTTGTGTAACATTTAATTTGGAAAAGGTTTCTAATGCTAAATGGATGTAAAAGTGCTACTCTCTTTTACTTTTGAGATTTATAATTATCTTCCTTTCCCAGAAATCATAATTGATGAAATGGTGTAAGAGTTGGAAGCTTTCTGATATAGTGCAATGATTCAAATCTGAGGACATAGCATATAGAAATGGTATTTGTCAGGAGGCAACTGGCCCCAGGTTTCTGGCTGTCCCAGGCTTACCCCAACTATTCCAGGGATGGAGGGGAATCAATATTTTGGCATACTTTCAATCCATTCTAGGCACAACTACTATGAAGCTCTGATGTGTTAGAAACAATGATTTATAGTCAGAATACCTGGATTAAAATCTTGACTGTGTCTCTGTCTCTAGACAAGAAAAGAGGTGCAATATTCTAATAATTTATTTGAATGAATAATCATTCTCTGTCAGTAACTACTTGCAAGTTTGAGACATGTCATGGCATCTCTCTGGTGGCTTTAATTTTCTTCTCCCAGAAGTAACACTAAAAATATTTAACAACTAGTACACCAGGACACTGATTAATCAGAAGAGATACTGGCCATAAGGTAGAAGCAGGTCCCTTTTAGTTGTTGGGTTGAGGTGAGGTCTGGGAGACCCCAAGGGAGAGGGTGAAGCTAGAGGTCACTTAGGGATCTTGGTGCAACAACTATTTAACAGACAGTAGGACATGTATTTGAATATTTTAATAATGGGTATTGCCATACTGATACATGCTGGCTGAAAAATCAGCCCTATATATCTTACAGCATAGTGTCAGGCACAAATTAATCAGTACTAATAAATGAGTAAGAGCTCCATTAGGTGGCACTTAAGTCACTCCTAGCTCTAATATTCCATAATTTTCATTCTATCAGTATTTAACTTTCATGAGCCTCATTTTCCTCTTTTACAAAACAGGGTAAATACCAACACTCTTGCTATATTAGACTCATTAAAGAAGTACGTGAGGTAATTTCTGTAAATGTTCTCTGAAAAATCAATCCACTCCATGGGTGAGATGAAAGAGAAAGGTCACGATGTTAAACTAACAGTTATAGATATGTATTTAAGAAATTATGTAAGTTGCATTAACTCAAAAGCAAACTTATTAGCTATTGGCAGAAAATAAGGAATAAACAAAATTTGACACAGACTCATACATACATAAATCAAGATACACAAACTATATTTTGAGATCAGACACATATATTCTATTTTCCCAAAAATATTGTTTGCAAGAATTTATTTTAATTTGCCCGAGGTTTTCTAAATAAATGGAGCCCATATGCAAAAGAAAGAATTTATCTCAATGAAGCTGTTGAGTATTATATATTGATTCATATATATATCCTATACCATCTAAAAATATATTCTATATTAGCTTTTATTAATGAACCCTAACTCAAATGTGAATTAAAAATATAATTCCTCATAATTAAATTATAAT